TGACGATCAGAGAACTTTCCTCACTTGCGTTAACTTCTCCACATGACTCCATCCTATATATTCAAATACACAATTTAAATATTGCAATAAGCTTACATTTCACTTTCACTTTTACTTTGTGTTTTTTCTTTTTAGCGAAATTAGTTAATGTAAAATTATCTTAACACACTCATAGATGAAAACGTTAGAGGGTTTACGGTTATGAGGCAAACGAGCATTTCCACATCTTATAAACCAAATAATTCTTTGATTGTACTTTCGCGTGAATTATTTTCTGTGTTGGTGGCCTTTGGCCGCGCTCTAAAAAAATAGCCCTGTTCGAGCCAATGCCCGGTGTGACTGAAGCACTTTCGTGTCCTTTCTGCGTTAGGGGCCATTGGTCGCGTAGGTGTCTGGTAACTTGTTTGGAAGRTGTTTTTTATAGGAAAATAAAAATTAGTTATCTTGAATACTTTAAATATTCATTTTTATTTTTTTACATATTGAAAATATAAAAAAAATGTATTTGAAAATATTGAATACTTTGTTACTATTATTACTCGTATTGTCACTCGAAGAAGGAACCTCATAAAAAAAACACTTGGGTGACCCGGGAGATTTTGGCCCTTGATGTTATCTGAAATCAAACATTCTTGATTATACTTAATCTATAGACATGTCATTCTAGTCGAAACTACTGAAGTTAAATTTCAAGGGTAAATAACAAAATGGCGGACTTCGAAAAAAGTCCTTTTATTTTAGGAAAGAAAAGGTTGTGATTAATTGGATGATCAATTCGTGGGAACACCCACTACTATTAAGACTGTTAATAAAGCACTTACACTCGCGTTAAGTACCATTTATAAATTAAAATTCGATTTATTTCGGGTAGATTAAAGTTTATTCCATTTTTATAAAGTCATTGTCGTTACAATTAAAATTACGTATATAAAAACGGTTACGGGGGTAACGAAATGATGTGTCTGATTCTCCTTCGGTTTATAAGATAATTACAGCGCGCGAGATCGGTGACGAAAAAAAACATATGTTGATATGTGCACAGGATCGGTGTTGACCTTAGCGAAGCAAATTAGCGTAGAGTGCCAACGCGCCACAGTGCACAAGTGAATGTTTTGTTCGAATTTTGTGTAACGAGTGTACTTGCTTTTCCCTTGTTCATCCTTTTTGTTGTTTTGTGGAAAAAAGGGGTCATAAGGCAAACCCTTTGAGGGTTTTACTATACTGACCTAGTACCATCACCCTGACTTGGAATTTCTCACCTCCCAGATTAGCTGTTGTACTGTGTAATCTGAGACAAGTAATTCGGCTTACTGTTGGTGTTATAGCCGAGGGCGCTAAATATTAGCAGTAAGAAGCGATTTGGTTTTAATATAATATTGTATTTTGTGTACGTATTGGTGCTTCAGGTAGTTATTTGCTTTTATTAATTTTATTAGCGGTTATTTACAATTTCTTATTTTATCGGTTTGATATGAGAATTGTTTCTTATTTGCCTTTTTCGGCTTATGAAGAATAGTAACTCCTTAGCCCTGGAGAACGGCTTCGATTCGTAAAGTAGAGAATTCTTCATAATTAATTTGAAGCTTTTTCATAATTAATTTTAAAAAGCCAACTTTATGAATATGGGATGGTTATTTTTGAGAAACGAAAATTAGTTGGAGAAATTTTAGTTTCAATAAAAAAACAAAAATTCCTATGTTAAAAGTATGGGAACCTAAAAATAAAATAGTGACCCCTTAGAGTTAAGCTACAGCGCTTGGCTTGAGGGAGGATTTTTTATTTGTCAACCACTAACATTTGA